TCTCTTTCTTTTCAGCAGCTATTGCTGCAGAGGCAGCAGCCTGGATAGCGTCGGGTAGTGAGGCAGCTTTCTCACCAGCTACTACAATAGCTGGTGCAGATATAACAACTTTCTTAGTGTTTGAGCCATCAGATGATTTGGTAGCTTCAGTTTGTCCCTCTGCTGCTTTGGTGTCATTGTGATTGGTACATGGTACATATTGCTGAGTCTTCTGATCGTAAGTATACCAGATCCCATTGTTACCGTCATAATACAAACCTGCAAAGCAACAATAATTGCGATGGTGTCACGTTTTACTTTTACCTACACCTGTAATTACGTCCTAGGGTTTATCAAGACCTTTTCATAATCCAGCTCCCAACACATACTCAAACTTGAGAAGAGAGGATCACTACAAGATGAAACAGAAATAGAAAGATAGTTTTTTCCCAAGTATAATTAATATAATAGCAGCAATAATCACATAAAAATAGGCTCAAACAAGACTGCCAGATGAAACACAAACCTCCTGAGAATGAAACCTAGCACGCCCTTAAAATAGGCAATTGGACAATATTTGGTTGAAGTTGGAGGGAAAAAAAAGAGTACTTGAAGTTGAAGTTATAAAAGAGATTTTGGAAGTTAATGTGTTCGGACATTAATTTCACTAGAAAAAATGAAGGTTGAAGATTGGCGAGTAAAAACAATTATTTCACTTGAAATGCCCCTCAAAGAAGTTTTCAACATTTCACCCGTATTTGAAATACTAAAGTTCCGTATTTACAAAATAATAAATGATATTTATGGCCAAACATAAGTGGAATTGGCAGATTATTGGACTGAGAAAATAAGACAGCAGGCACACAACTCAGTTAAAGTCATCGTCATTAAACCCCCCCCCCCCCCCCCCNCCAAGAAAAAAAAAAAACTTCCCCTGATCATAGTATAGATTCTCATACAAAAGCAAAAGAAATAATGTGGAACCATTTTTTCCTACATGTGAAGAATTTTCAGATGGGCGACCTTTCACACTTAGCAGCTTACGAGCAAGGGACAGACATCTGAATGCCATCACAGTTCCGAGCAATTTTGAGACCAAATTTAGATGTACTGGACTATAATCTCTAATTGTTTATAATAAAAATCTCTATCCAGCCAAGTCTTCACGAGAAGAAACGGGCACCAAAATTGCACTAGCTTCTTACATTCAGGCATCTGACTTGAAGGACATTGAGATCTGCAACCTATCTACTAAATGGACCTCCGCAGTCTCACTTAGACTTCCGTACAACCCCATGGCACCCAAAAGGCACAAGACGTGAGCAGACAATGTCCACTATTTCATGTTACTTAGTTAAAAAACATCAGCTAATAATGTGTGCTTAACCAGACTTGGTTTATAAATGACACAGAGTGGACAGTGCTTTAACATAAACTGGAAACAAACCTGTATTCCCGTCATAATAAAAACCAGAAGCAGCATCATAATAATAGCCAGAGGCTTCATCCCAGACAAATCCAGATTGTGGAGCAGAATTTTGACCAGCAACTTCTCCACTGCGCTCTTGTCCACCGGTTGACAGTTTATCATCAGGATTATATTCTTTTGGTGCCCATCCAACAGCATCATACTACAAGCGTGGAGGAGGTATAATTAGACGTGTAACTTGACCTAATTCTATTGGATAATTATAGATGTGCTAACATGCATCAAATAACGCATCAACATTTTACAGTCTTCTATTGAAAGATGAACAGATGTCTGTCCAACCAACGTAAAAGAAAGCTACAAACTACATGATGCCTAAGCTATCATTTGGTGACACTCAAAGCTCATTCTTTGCAG